TTTAAGTATTAAAAAAACTCTTTAGTGTCTAAAGATCTACTTGAAGCAACTAATATTTTCATCTCCAGCCAGAATTATAAATATTTTAGAAATAAAATCTTCAGTCTAGACATTCACCAGAAACAAGAGGCACAGTCTTCCAACTGGGTGCCGTACTGTTTTGAATCTTTCCATCACCTTTCTTCCAGAGGGTTACGTTGCAGGGCTAAAGCTTTTGCACAACAGCATCATTGTTGAATAGACACTTAGCATATTTAGGTTGGAATACAAAGGAACCGGAGGTTGGGGGAGATTCCTAAGAAAGCCTGTTTCTCTTCAAGAATGTAATCGATTTGAAAGGTAATCCCTAAAGGGCAGCCATTTGTAAATTAGGAAGGAAGGGGAAAAAAAGGTTCCTAACAAGAAACATCGTCAAGGGGCTCGATTAAGCAAAAAAAAAAAAAAAAAAAAAAAAAACCTAGAAAAAGAGAAAAGAGACCTTCGTGTTGTTTGTAAATTTGTGAATAAGTCTGTTAAAGAAATACTGGATTCATATTCAACTTGAAAAACAGGGAAAGGCCTTTTATTGCACACTTAGAAGTTTGAATACACTTTCAGTAGCTCTTCATTATCTCAAATTAAATCTTAAATTGAGCTTGTGGTTCTGCGAATTAATACTCCAGCCTTTCAGCCCTGCTGCTGAGGTCATTCAAATCTAATGGTGGAAGTGGTCACAGGGTCAGGCCTTGGTTGGCGCTGTATAGAAATGCCTTAATGATGCTGGCAGATGTTCGCATTCCGCAGCTGGGACACTGGGCAGTGGGGGGGGCTGCGGTGGGGGAGGGCCTTGGTGATGACATTATTGTGTCAGCTGTCTGTGTGAATGAGGAAGTGTGGAATCCCACCCCATCTTACCATTCCATGTAGAAATAAGAGGCCAGTGCATCCTAAAGCAGAAAAACGTAAGGGAAGTCATAATCATCTGAATGTTCACCAAGGTGACCCACATCTGGGGTATGGTTGAAGGAGAGGGGTCACCTCTCTGCATAATTAAATACAACCTTCTAAAGATGTTTGATTTATTCAACAAATGTTTAATAAAGGTTTCCTCTGGGGTGTAATGGTCATTGTTTGGTAAAACAGACCCCATCTCTGGTGTCAGGGACTTTATATAGATTTATGCACATATCTGTGCAAATGTGTACATTTAAGGCCAGCTGAGCCTGTGCTGGTTTGAATGCCTTGACCTTGCTCTCTCCCTAAGAGGAAGGAAGAAGGATTGGCTACCTTGAACTTTCTAGACTTCTTCATTGTAGCTTTCTAGCCTCTGAATCCAAAATTTTACTTTATTTTCTAGCACCTTGTTATATTTTACTTTTTATTTACTGAAACCTTGAAATAAAAATTTTTTAAAATACTTTTGATTTTAAATAATCTTTAGAAATATATAAAGGTTAGAAATAACTTTAATTTTTATGAACAGTCCACTCCTCCACATAGACACATTCAGATGTTTAATTCTGCCTATGGCCAGTTCTTCTAATGATAAAATGTTAAAAATGGCCAATGATGATGAAACTTTTCTTGACCCAAATGTGATTGATTGATTTGCTGGAGTCAGTTCAAGCTCCTTCCAAAGTTTAGTTCATTGAAACTAGAACTTGTTTTTGTCATTCTTTAATTCAGGCATGCATTCATGCTTCTAATCAACATGTGTTGTGCACCTGCTGTATGTCACATACCTCCCCAGGTGCTGGGGAGAAACGAGCAAAGTATTTCAGGGACTCAGGCACTGTGTGTGAAATACCACAGGCCAGGTAGAGAGGAAGGGACATACATTTCCTTTAGGAGCAATTTTTTAGTGGCTTTTATTTTTATTTGTTGTTGTTTTTAGTTTCATTAGTACTAATAGCAGTGGAAAAGGCAGTGTAACAGTAGTGGCTGTTGTGTGCCAGCCATAAGCCAATGGCCATGTGCATTTTCTCTAACCCTCCCCTAAACCCAACAGGTTAGGGAAAATGATAATAATCCTGAACACCCTCACTTTATAGATGAAGATGCCAATGCTCCGGGAGGTAGAGTAAATTTCATAAAGTCACAGAGTAATCAAATGGCAGGACTGAGGTTCCCAGCCAGGCCTGTTCCATGGGGAGGTCTAAGAAAAGTAGGGTCCCTTCGAGGGCAAGGGAGAACTTGGGGGTGTCCTACCTAACTCATTTTTAATTCAGGAGCAACAAAGAAAGAAACCTGCTCAGCTCAGAGGAGCACCATTTATTTTATTTTTTTAAATTGCACATATTCATGGGATATAGTGTGCTGTTTCAATACACGCATATATTGAGCAATGATACACTTAGGTTGAATGGCATATCAATCACCTAAACATCTATCTTTTCTTTGTGGTGATTACAGTCAAGATCCTACTTTCTAGCTATTTGGAAATATACAATATAATATTATTTGCTCTAGTTAGCCTAGAACACCAGAATTCCTTCTATCTACCTATCAAAGTAGGTTCATATTCCAAAGGTATTAACAGATATTTGGAGCGAGAATTCCACAGTAAAGTCTGAGTTACACTCAGTTAAATAAAAATTTCTTTACTACATCTTTTGACAAGCTGATGATGTACTTAGAATTCCCAAAAAGATTTCTTATGCCTTACTTCATTTGTACATTTTCTCAAGAAATCTTTTTTTCAAATACCACCAAGAACTAGTATATTCCCTGAAACAAACTTCTGGACAATGGTTGGTTTAGGCCTTATGCTATGTTAAACACAGAACCTCTAGAGATATTTGATGCATGGCAAGGGAAACACACTGACCTATTAGCAAAGACAGATTTTGTATTAAATTCTAAACATACCTTATTTAGAATCATGAATAGAATCTTCATAAATGAAGCTGGTCTAGGTTTTGCTTTTTTAGGAGTTCTCTTCATCTAATTTTTTCATCAGGATTATTTCACTTGTGGAGAACTGGTAAAATCTTGTTAAGGATGATATATTCTTTAGAGCTTTCACCTGTACCAGTATCAGAAACTTTTCTTAAATAGGGAGCCATACACACGCACACACAATTTGTTAGTCTATTTGGGTTCTACGACATCAGGTCAATTATGATAACATTCTTATAGAAAAAATGTAATCCCTCTATATTTTTACATGTACTGGGATGCATGCATGTATGTGTACAGTATTACCTTATAATTTCTTTTTCAAATTTCCTTGATAATCTGCAGTTGTTACCTTTATCATCATTAATGGCCTAAATGTGTTCTTTCGTTTTCTTTGATTAGACCTGCCAAAATCTAGTCATTATTAACATTGAATCAAGTCTATTATTGTCTATTCTCTTAATTTCTACTTTTTACTGTACTTGGCTTCTCTACTTGTACTGGTCTTATTTTTTTGTTTCTGGTTTCTTGACGTAAATGCTTATTCATTCCTTCAACACGTGTCTTTGTATGATGGGCCCCACATTGGCACTGTGCAGAAGTGAAGATGAAGACTGAGCTCACAAACAGAATTTCCTTAGTACATTAAAGGGCATTAATTTCTTACTGAATAGAACTTCGGTGACATTTGACAAGTTTAGATATGCAGGCATCTCATTATCACTTGTTTCTAAATAGTCTGTAATTTCAGTTTTGATTTTAAACACTTTATTATTGAAATTTCAAACACATACAAAAGTAGAAATATTAGAACAATGAACCCCATGAACAAACCACTCCACTTCAATAATTATAGACATTTTATCAATCTAGTTTCCAGCTCTCTTTGCCAATTCTTTTTAGTTGCTGGAATACTTTAACACAAACTTCTATATCTTATTTCATAAGTACGTATTTATCTCTAACACACATCATGTTCTATTTTTTATAAGCACAATGACATTATCATCCTTAACAAAATTAGTGTTTAAATATCATCTAATATTCAGTCCATGTCCGCACTTCCCCCACTGTCTCCAAAATGTCTTTTTACATTTTGTTCAAACCAGGTCCAAGTAATGCTCACATATTGAACTTAGCTGATACAACTTTTGAGTCTCTTGTAATCCATTAACTGTTTCTCCTCTTTTCTTTTTCATGCCACTCATTAGTTGAAGAAATTACGTCATTTGTTCTGTAGAATTTTACACGTTCTGGATCTGATTGGTTGCTTCTCTGTGGTGCCATTTACTTTGTTCATCTATTCACCAAATTCTTGTTTTTAAAGAGTATGATTTAAAGGTAATTCCTTCAGTTCATTATTTTGGCCATAAATCTTCACAGCTAATGGTGAGTACTTCCTACTGCATTCTATCAGGTGGTGCATATTGTCTGATAATCCCATTTTTATTGAAGTTAAAACTGATCAAAGGGTTAAGAGGTGGTCAGTTTGACAAATCCACTATGTAAATCTCACTATAAAATCTTTCACCTAATAGTTTTAGAATCAATTGAAGATCATTTTCTGGACCCATTATTCCATTAGGATCTAGAGAATGGTGACTTTTTTCTAATCCTAACATTCTTTCTGAATTTACTGGTTGGACTTCTTAAATTAAAACCAAACAAACAAAAAACCCCACTTGAATGTGATAAAACTTTTGGTGACCCTGAAATTTGGTTTATGTGGGAAAAGGAAAATAGATGTTGATTTCCACCCTTATTTATTGATTTTAAGAATAATGAGTTGGTACCCTAGCATCTTCCACAGGTGACCAAAATTTGCAGCCATAACCAACTACTGAACTACTGGTAGGGACACACCAAAAGAATCAACATGAAACAACTCCCACTGACTGAAGATGGGGCACTTTGAGCATCAAAAAGTACATTGACTGCAATGGAACAATGTCTTCTTTCCTTCAGACAGGAGTTTAACTCATGCACAAATGTGCACACACACAATATTAAATCCCCAAATGTTTAGTTTCTTTTATGCCATCTTTTTGATAGTTTCTACATAATCTTGAACTATGGTCAGACAATACAGATTGTAAGCCATTTGCTTTTAAGAATTATGAAAAAAATAATTTCATATTGCTCTGATTCTTCAACAGTTGTACTCTTAACCTCACATTCACAACATACATAGAGTTTCTTTTTGGCATGAAATTTCTGATGCAGGTCAAGTGATGAAGAACTTCTTACACTCACTATATTCTCCTAGATTTTACTTGGAATAAATTATTTTAAGTTTAATAAGTGCTGAGAGGTGATAGGAGGCATTTCTACATTTATTACTTCTAAAGGATCGATTTTAGATATGAATTCACTAAAACTAATGATGGTAACAATTATAGATAATATTTACAGAATACATACTACATGACTGCTATTCTTCCAAATATTAACTACTTACTCCTTAGAACAATCCTGTTAACAGTGTGGCAGGTTGACTCTAAATTGGCTCCCAAAGGTCCTATTTCCTGTTATTCATACTCTTGTATAATTCCCTCTCTTGAGCGTGGGCTGGCCTTGTAACTTACTTCTAACCAGAAGACAGCAAAGGCAATAAAATGTTACTTCCACGATTATATTATACAAGACTGTAACTTCCATCTTGCTAGCAGACTCTATTGTGTTCTTGGCTTATACGCTTTGATGAAGCAAGCAGGTATGTTGACAAGGCCATTATGGCACAGAACTGCAGTCAGCCTTCAGCTAACACCAGCTTAAAACTGAGGTTCGCAATGTAACAGCCCTTGAAAAAATGAATGAAGGCAACAACCATGTTACCTTGAATGTGGATCCTTCCCCAGTCGAGCCTTGAGATGAGATCCCAGCTCTCACTTGTGAGAGAACCTAAAGCAGAGGACCCAACCAAGACATGCCTGGACTCCTAATCCACAGAAATTGTGAGATAATAAATGTGTATTATTTTAAGCTACTAAGTTTGTAGTAATTTATTACACAGCAATAAATAACTAATACATATAAATACTATTATCACCATATTACAAGTTAGTAAAACTAGGCACAGGAGTTTAAGTATCTTGCCCCATATCACACTGGGGGTAAAGTGATGAAATAGAGATAATGACAGATAAGGCTAAACATTTCCCTGCATTCATTACATTATTCTGTCACAGGAATTTATTGAAGATAGTCAATGTTTGAATGGTGATGAAAGACTTTTTAAAGCAACATATCCTTTCTCGAACATAAAATGTCTTATGCTCAGTTGTGAGCATAAAGTTATCTCAAAAATGAATCTTCTGATATTCTGTGACATAATGTACATTTGAAAAGTTTTCTTGTATTAAATTCCATTATGAATCTTCTGGTGTTGAGTTAGGTGTGAATGCTGTCTAAAGGCCTTTTTACATTCCTTACATTTGTAGGGTTTCTCACCAGTATGAATTCTCTGGTGTTGAGTAAGAAATGAATAAAGTCTAAAAGCCTTACCACATTCCTTACATTCATAAGGTTTCTCACCAGTATGAATACTCTGATGCTGAGTAAGTTGTGAGAGTAGTCTAAAAGGTTTTCTACATTCCTTACATTCATAAGGTTTCTCACCAGTGTGAATACTCTGATGCTGAGTAAGTTGTGAGAGAAGTCTAAAGGCCTTTCCACATTCTTCACATTCATAGGGTCTCTCACCAATATGAATGCTCTGATGTGAAATAAGTTGTGAGTAACTACTAAAGGTTTTCCAACATTCCATACATTCATAAGGTTTCTCACGAGTATGAATTCTCTGATGGCGAACAAGTTGTTGCCTTAATCTAAACGTCTTCCCACATTCTTTACATTCATAGGGTTTCTCACCAGTATGAATACTCTGATGGACAGTAAGTTGTTGGCATATTCTAAAAGCCTTTCCACATTCCTTACATGTGTATGGTTTCTCACCAAAATGAATTTTCTGATGTACTCTAAGTTCTGGACCACACACAAAGGCTTTTCCACATTCCTTACATTCATAGAGCTTCTCAGCAGTATGAAGTCTCTGATGTCGAGTAAGGTGTGTACACTGTCTAAAGGTCTTCCCACATTCCTTACATTCATAGGGTTTCTCACCAGTGTGAATTCTCTGATGTCGAGCCAGTTGCTGATGTACTCTAAAGGCCTTTCCACATTCCTTACATTCGTAAGGTTTTTCACCAGTATGAAGTCTCTGATGTTGAGTAAGTTCTTGGAGCACTGTAAAGGCCTTTCCACAATCCTTACATTCATAGGGTTTCTCACCAGTATGAAGTTTGTGATGTCGAATAAGATGTGCACGTTGTCTAAAGGCCTGCCCACATTCCTTACATTTATAAGGTTTCTCACCAGTATGAATTCTTAGGTGTTGACTAAGTGTTGAGCGACGAATAAATGTCTTCCTACATTCCTTACATTCATATATCTTTTCTCCATTATGAACTCTCTGATATTCAAGAAAATTGTGCTTTTTGTAAGTGGTCATTTTTTCAGAGGTAATTTTCACTTCCCCAAAATATCCCTCTTGCGGTTCCTTTTGCCCCTCAATTTTGCTTTTGCATTCCCAATCATTTCTAAAAATGGAGCCCTGAAGGCTATAGCTTTTAATTCTTTCCATTATCTCCCACTGGAATGAATATATTTCATAAATGTCCTTTTCTGGAGATAAAGTATTGATCTTGTATCCGGACTCCAAATCTGAAAGAAAACAAGAAAGCAAACTCATGCTGCTTTCCAGTTTCAAAAGAAAGAAATTTCTGTAAAGAAATAAAAGACACCTAAAATAATGCCTATTACAAGTGAATGGATTAGATCTCTTTTAAACATAGGCATTTTGCTACAAGGGTACTTCAGAAAGTTCGTGGAAAAATAGAATTGAAAGATAATACAAACCTTTCCATGAACTTTTTAGAAAGTACCACATACCACATATGTATACCTAAAAAATCCCTTATCTTCTACAAAATTATACACCAAAAATAACTGCAATCATAAGAAAAATAGGGCTGAAACAGACCACTCAACTCTATGCAACTTTATTAGCAGAGCACTAACAATAATAATAGTTGATATCTCAATGGATAATCTAAAAGGCAACTCAGCATGGCTGAAGGCCGCTTCGTGGATATTAAAAGGCACAAAAATAAAGCAGAAATGCTGGATTTCAGGTGGTGAGGCATTGCATGTGAAAAAGTCCTCAGCCAGTGAGGACACCATTAAAGTGAAAATAGGGTCAAGTTAAAGCCTGTCTTTGGCTAGGGGCCATGCAACTTTGATGATGTATGTCTCTGGGAAGGGAAACTTGGGTGTAGGCATTTATTACTAATTTTCTTAAAATAGAAGTGAAAAGGCTCCTGACAATAAGCATCAAGTTGTAGACTTTTGCCTTTCCTGCTGAATGTCATAAATCAACCTTTACAAACCTAGCTCTACTCAACTAGGAAACCTCTCTCTTAACCAACTACCTTCCACATTATACAGCTATTATTCCCTATCACTATTAAACTAATTTGCATCATGGAACAGACTGTACTCTCACATTTTGAAAAAAGGCAAGGAAAACACAGGGATTAAATAGAGTCCAGGAGTGGAGGCAGGATTTGTGATTAGGGAAACAAGTCAAATCAGTGGAGCCCTGATTTAAGTGTGAAAAGAATCACCTGGAGATTTGTTAACTATATAGAGGTATTCTTGACTGGAACAAAACCTACAGTAGTAGGTCCTGTGCATGTATTTGTTTTGTTCTTATTCATATTTTCCAAGAAATTATTCTGATGCTGATCAATATTTTTCTCTACTTAAATGTTTTCAATAATATCTCTTTATCATTAGAATAAAATATAAATACCTGAGCTTGGAAAATAAGGCTTCTGCTTATCAACACGAGTTCTCTCCCATTTACTCTCTCTATTCATGCCATACTCGCCTCTTTTCAGCTCACAAAATGCCCTGCAACTGTTTCTGTTAAATAGAACTTTTCACACATTTCTCCTTCTTTCAGGAATCCTTTGATATTACATGGCTGGTTCTCAAGTCTCAAATCAAAAATCACTGTTTGAGAAAGGCTATTCCTGCTGACCCTATTTAAGTCTATGCATCTTATGCTCTATCCTTACTCATCTTTATAGTACTTTTCCCAATTTTGGAAAAATAAGTTTATTAGTCTTCTCATTTGTTATTCTGTTAGTTTTTTTACTACCAAGTTTCCCCAGGGGCAGAAACAATCTCTAACTTCACCATTAAATAACAAACCCCCAAAACACAATAGATATAACTAATTTAATTCCCTTAATTACATAACCATCGATGAATATGTACATCTGTCTCTAATCTTTCATACCATACTAATAGGATTTATGTAGTTTCTGGTCAAAATGGCAGAATAGACAGTCCACAGCATCACACTCTCCCACAAATCAACCACTTTACAACTATAAAAAAGCAACAACAGCCAAACTGGGGCCACCAGAGCTCAGGGGAAGAGAAGGAGAGACCTACGGAGTGTATGAAGGTGGAAGAAGCCACGATGAGAGAAAGAAAAAAACACTCCAACCATTTCGTGCCTTGGCCACTTTAAGGCTGGAGCTGCCGAATGCACAGAGCAGGAGTTGGCAAAAGCCGCAACTGTGCCCTTTGGATGAAGTTGCTTGGAGGCGGCAGGGGAGAAGAGGGCCTTGGTGTCCCCCAGGACAGCAAGACCACTAATAGGGTTCCCATGGACCCACATAGGAGCGAGGAGCCACAACAACTGAAAAAAAGGAGTCACTCAGAGGCCGGTGAGTCATCGCAAGGGACCAGCACATGGCCCATCCCATGGAAAGTGTTTGCAGCACGGGCGGTGCGGGAGATGGGTCCACTTGCAGAACACTGGGGCACAGCAAGGACAGCTGACTGGCACCCCAATCAGCAAAGGACCACTCAGAGGGGACTGGTCAGGAATATAGAATTGCATGGGGTGCAGTTTGATGAAAAGACTCAGGCCCAGATCAGAGTTTCTACATAACCAAGGTGCACTGGGTCTCTGGAGAGCTGGAAGTACCTATAAAGTCAACCATTAAAATCTGAGCTGCACAAAAAGCCTTCCCTAGGGAATCAGCTGCAAAGCAGCAATTTGGCTAAACCACACAGCTCAAGTACCAGTCCCCACAGGAAGTTGCCCCATTTTAGAAGTAAGCAAAGGACAAAAAAATTAGTCCAGGGACCTGAGGCATGGAGCCAAGGACCAGTCTCCCCTCCCACAACCAGGCACACCACTAGTGCTTTGGGGTCCACCTGGGGTCCTGAGGCACTGAGGCGGGGACTGGACACCCCTCCCACAACCAGGCACACTAACAGCACCAAGGAGTATGCCAAAAACATCACCTCCATGTGGGTGGCCCACCACAGCCACCACAATAACCATGGCTGCTGCAAAAGCAGCCAGACACCACAACCACCACGCAGATGGTCCACCAGCCACTGGAGTGCATTGACATGAGGCGAGTCATCAGCAGAGACCAAAGAAAAGAGGATGTCTCTCTCCACAAAGCCCATTCCAGAATGACAGAAGAAGCATCCGCTCTATGATAATATTGAGGGACCTGAACACACCTCTCAGAATTGGACAGATCGTCTAGGCAACAAATCAACAGAGTAACCATTACCCTTTCAGAAGGAGAGAAGAAATCTAGGGTTAACTAGAGGGGGGTGGGGGAGTGAGAGGGGGATGGGGAGAGATTAGAAAAGGGGCATAAAGAATAAGTATGATTTGTAAAAATACATATGCTAGTAATATTGATTTGATCAACACATGTCAACGCTGAACCCCCAAAATATGTATAATTATGATTTAATAAAAATTTTAAAAAATAAAAATAAATAAAATGATTTACTTATCTCCACTAGAGTTTATACTGTTACTTATCAATTCTACATTTACTCAAAGTTTTGTTCCTCCATATCCTTCCCAGATGTGCTCCTTTCCATTCCTACATAGCCAAAGTGACTATCTCTAGTATCTTTCAATCACGCCAACAATAAAAGGTTTATGAACTCCTGAGCAAAAATACATGGTAAATATCAAGTACAGTAGAATGACTGTCAAATATGGAAGGGGTCTGGGATCACTCAAGTGCAACAGAGTAAAAATAAAAGACTACGATGGATGTGGGCTCAAAGATAGTGATCCAGGGCCTGCCCCATGGTTTACTTGGGCTCACTCGGGAGAGTGCGGCGCTGGCAGTGCCGAGGCCACGGGTTCAGATCCTGTATAGGGATGGCCGGTGCGCTCACTGGCTAAGCGTGGTTCGGATGACGCCGAGCCAAGGGTTGTGATGACCCTTACCGGTTAAAAAAAAAAGGTAGTGATCCAGATGGAGTCCTTGCATGAAGAAAATCTAAATGCTAAATGAAGAAGGCATAGAGATGGCATGAGATGTTACAGGAGAGGTAGGAAAACTTTTTTCTGTGACTGTTTATAAACATAAAACTGTTGAAATGATTCAATATTCTCTGATCACTATGAAAGAAAATGGGGGAAAAATCATAAAATCAAGAGACTTCTTCATGTCAAATTTTTAAAACTCTACTAAATAAAGTGTAGAACTTCTAGAAAACAATAACACCGAAAATACCACATTATAAAGAGCCTATTAAATATAGCTACAGATCTTAGAATTCATAGATATATTTAAATTCTTAGAGCAATAAAAATGAAAGAAAAAATGAGTGCCCCATTCAAAAGTTAGAAAATGAACAACAAAGTATACTAAGGAAACCAGAAGGAGGGAATAAGTTAAAATGAAAGCAGAATTTCATTAATTAGATAACAGAAAAAGAATGAAATACACAAATAAAAAACATGGGTTGTTTGGAAAAAATCAGTGGACTACATTAATCATTAGCTAAGATAACGAGAAAAAGGGGAAGCATTCAAGCACAAGAGAAAAGAGTAAATAAGTATTCAGAGACAACTCTCATTTTTTGCACCTCTTATAAGCAGAAGCACTATCTTTTCATGAAGTTCAGAAGTTCAAAAGTTCTGGGCTATCTTTTCATGAATGTTTGTATAACAAACAGCCTTGGAAGGCAGACATAATATCTCTCTTCGGATCAACAGGCAGCTTTGCTTACTTGTTCAGTATAATAAAGGTAAAATCTCCCTTGGAGCAAAGTCATGCATGCTTATTACCCACAATGAAAGACTTGGACTCTCTAAGCTCAGGGTTCCTCTCCTATAATGCAGCTCACTGCATGCTCAAGGTCTATCTAGACCCATCCATGTTATCCTCCTGGGACTTGCAGGCAAGGAGGAACTGCCACAAATATGCCTACGCTCATGCTGCCTGCTGTGCTGTGATCAATAAAATCCTTTGTCTTTCATTTAGGACCCTTGTGTCTTCTGCCAGCATCCATGGCAGGCTAACTTGTTAGTGTGCAAGTAGAGGGAAATTGCAGACCCTTCACAGTACTGACACCAGTAAATGACAAAATAGAAAATCATAAGGGATTACTATGTCAATAAAGGGTAATTTTCTAAGAAAGTACAGAAAAAGCAATAAAAGACCTACTCCAGAAATTATTTTGAAGATTATCAGAATTTTAGAAAGTACATAAACCCAATTATATTTAAAGTGGCCCAGAACATTTTTTAAGAAAAGAAAAAACTCCAAGTTATTTTAAAGTAAGCATAAAAATGGAATCGAAATCTAGTAAAGGAA